AAACAAAAAACAAAACAAAACAAACAAAGAACCTCCACACTTGATACCCCAGCTTCCCACCTCCTGTCCACAAATCAACTGAATAATCCTATCAGCCATGGAAAACATCAATGCTCTGTAGATAATGACTTACACAACTTTGACTTTTAGATTTTGATAAAACATTTGTGTTCTCTGGTCTAGCCCCTGCTAATTGAAATGTGGCCCATGAACCAGCAGCCTTGCATCTCCTGGGAACTTGTTAGAAATGCACACTGTGTCTCACCCCAGCCCTACTGGATCACAATCTGTGTTTTAACGAGAGTCTGAAGTGGTTCATAAGCACTTTGGTAAGTTGTGAGAAGCAAAAGGCTAGTGGTTCTCAAAAGTGTAGACCTGATAGCAGTGGCAGTATCACCTGGGCCCATACAGAAAAGTCAAATCCCTGGGCCCCACGCTATACCTGCTGAATCAGATTTCAGGGGGCAAGGTCCAGAAAGCTTTTTAAAGAAGTCCTCCAGATGATTCTGGTGCCCACTAATATTTGAGAACCACTGCTCTAGATCAGCGATTCTCAATCTCAGCTAAATATTAGAAACACTTGGGGAATGTGGCGGACTCCCCATATTTAGAGCGCAGCTTGGATGACCTGAATTGGAATTTCAGTGCTTTTTAAATTCTCCAGATGATTCCAATGTAAATCCAAGGCTGAGAACCGCTGCGCTAGTCTAGAACAGTGCTTCTCAAAGTTGGCTTCACATTAGAAATACTCAAAGAGCTTTAAAAAAAAAAAAAGGAAAACTGATGCTCAGGTTCTCAGAAATATAAACTGGTCTGAGTGAGGAAAAAAAAAAAAAACTTTTAAAAATTCTCAGGTGATTTTGATATCCAGCCAGGTTTGCAAACTACTGCTCCAGAAATGCCATTTACCCCATATAAACTTCAAGTTATAATAAAGAATAGACAGTCTGGAGGTGATGGAAGGTGATCACTTGAACCCAGGAAGCAGACGTTGTGGTGAGCCAAAATCATGCCATTGTACTCCAGCCTGGGCAGCAAGAGCAAAACTCCATCTCAAAAAAAAAAAAAAAAAAAAAAAAAAAAAGAAAAGAAAAGAGAAAGTTTCCTCCATGGCACAACAAAAAGAAAATTAAGCTGCAGAATCACAATACACCCTAATATTGTTTAGTAAATTAACTTATAACTACATTTTACAACATTTTTAATTTCCCTTATATTTATTCAGCCTTTACAGTGTGTTAGGCTAGTGACTATGAAGATTAAAAATGAGCCCAAACCCTAGCTCCTGCCCATAGGGAACATAAAATCTGAATCGGGAGGAGAGATCCACACACATCTACATATGAATACTGTTTCCAAAGCAACACATCATTTTTGCTACTCACTAGAATTCACTAAAATAAGTTACACATATCATTATGTCATGGTTAGGTCAAAGTCATTTCTATACTTTTTAAAAGAATAGGAAGCCAGGTCAGTGGTGCACACCTACAGTCCCACTCAGGTGGCTGAGGCAGGAGGATCACTCGAGCCAAGAAGTTCAAGGCTGCAGTGTGTGATGATTGAATCTTGCATAACAACTACACTCCAGCAACATAGCAAGACCCCATCTCAAAAAAAAAAAAAAAAAAAAAGGACTAATCTCTTAAAAAAAATAATAGGAGCAAGAAGGACAAATATGTTGGAAAATGATGAAGGAACTATTTTAAATACAATTAGCCCTTAGACATTTGAACCTGGAGAAAGTGGTAGAGAAAGTCAATGGCCCCTTCAGAGAGTAATATAACACCTTAGAGAAAATTTTCTCAGCCCGGGTGTGGTGGCTTATGCCTGTAATCCCAGCACTTTGGGAGGCCGAGGTGGGCGGATCACCTGAGGTCGGGAGTCTGAGACCAGCCTGACCAAAATGGAGAAACCCCATCTCTACTAAAAATACAAAATTATCCTTGCATGGTGGTACATGCCTGTAATTCTGGCTACTCAGGAGGCTGAGGCAGGAGAATTGCTTGAACCCAAGAGGCGGAGCTTGTGGTGAGCCGAAATTGTGCCATTGCCCCTCAGCCTGGGCAGCAGGAGCAAAATTCTGTCTCAAAAAAAAAAAAAAAAAAAAAAAAAAAGAAAAGAAAGTTTCCTCCATGGCACAACGAAAAGAAAACTAAGCTGTGGAATCACCAACAATACACCCTAATATTGTTAAGTAAATTAACGTATAACTACTAACAAACCTAGCAATTAAGAAATCAACAATTAAAGAGTTCATAATAAATATTCTTCCTGATTACTGCTGGAAATATAACTATTTCTTTTGACCTCAGACTAAAAAGAGAGTTTCTGAATGAAGAAAACCCCCAAATGTTCTCCTTTCGGATCAGCTCTTTTAAGAACACTTTTTAGTAATGAAAAATATTGTCCTAGTTTGAAATAAATTACTTGCTATAAATATTTTTCAGGTCAGGTATGGTGGCTCATTTCTGTAATCCTAACACTTTGGGAGGCCAAGGCGTGAGGATCATTTGAGCCCAGGAGTTTAAGGTCAGCCTGGGTAACATGATGAGAGCCCCATCTTTACAAAGACATTTTTAAAAAATTTAGCTAGATGTGGTGGCGCATGCCTGTGGTCCCATCTACTTGCTGAGGCTGAGGCAGGAAGATTGCTTGAGCCCAAGAGATCGAGGCTATAGTGAGCTATGATCCTGCTTTCACCTGAGCACTCCAGCTTGGGTGAAAGGCCGGACGCTGTCTCAAAAAAACTTTTTTTTCAAAGATACTGAACTGTTGAATTTATTTACATTTTTAAATGAGCAATCAAGCAAAATTCAAAATTTCATATAAGTTACAATGGCAAAGATGTGATACGATTCTTTTTTAAATTTTTATTTAGTTATTTCTATTTTTTTTTGTTTTTGAGATGGAGTTTTTGTTGTTGTTGCCCAGGCTGGAGTGCAGTGATGCAATTTTGGCTCACTGCACCCTCTGCCTCCTGGGTTCAAGCGATTCTCCTACCTCAGCCTCCCAAGTAGCTGGTATTACAGGCATCCACCACTAGGCTCAGCTATTTTTAAAAACATTTTTAGTACAGGGTTTCACCATGTTGGTCAGGCTGGTCTTGAACTCCTGACCTCAGGTGATCCATCTGCCTCGGCCTCCCAAAGTGCTGGGATTACAGGCGCCCAGCCAAAAATATTTTTAAGCCCAAAGCTCACCAGACATAATTATTTTTTTATTTTTATTTATTTATTTATTTATTTATTTATTTATTTATTTATTTGAGACGGAGTTTCGCTCTTGTTACCCGGCTGGAGTGCAATGGCGCGATCTCGGCTCACCGCAACCTCCGCCTCCTGGGTTCAGGCAATTCTCCTGCCTCAGCCTCCTGAGTAGCTGGGATTACAGGCAGGCGCCACCATGCCCAGCTGATTTTTTTGTATTTTTAGTAGAGACGGGGTCTCATCATGTTGACCAGGATGGTCTCGATCTCTTGACCTCGTGATCCACCCGCCTCGGCCTCCCAAAGTGCTGGGATTACAGGCTTGAGCCACCGCGCCCGGCCATTTTATTTATTTATTTTGAGACAGAGTCTCACCTAGGCTGGAGTGCAGTGGCACCATCTCAGCTCACTGCAACCTCCGCCTACCAGGTTCAAGCAATTCTTGTGCCTCAGCCTCCCTAGTATCTGGGATTACAGGTGTACATCACCACACCCGGTTAATTTTTCTATTTTTGGTATGGATGGAGTTTTACCATATTGGCCAGGCTGGTCTTGAACTCATGGCCTCAAGTGATCCTCCCACCTCGACCTCCCAAAGTGCTGGGATTATGAGCCAACATGCCCAGCCACCAGACATAATTCTTTAAGACAAAAAAAGTGAGTCTCTGAATAAAGAAAAACCACAAATGTTCATCCATCTCATCTATTTCATTCCATTAGAAAATGCTTAGAGGTTAGAACAGATTAGAGTATGTGAAAAAATACCAATTGGAATTTGGAATAGGTCTAAGGGCAACCACATTTAACATAATAACCTCTCCTTTGTATTTGAAAATGACCTCACATTAGCAGATGATAAGTCTCAAGCTCTTTTTCCAATAATAGTGGTGGATTCTACTACTCCAAACCCACTCTTATCCTGTATCCATGGACATATCCATAGGAGGTGGGTGATAAGATCTTTATGTCCACCAGTGAAATAGAACTAAGTTTACTGACTCCAAAAGGTTTTGAATCCATCATGTGGCAGAGAATTTACTCTCAAAATAACCTGATGAGGAAGAGAAGGCATTTATTATGGTCCCAATTTTATAAATAAACAGACTAATGTTTAATCATATCATTTACACAGGACCATAAAAACGATGTGGTGACTTTCAGTGGGGGTTATAGAAACAGCCGAAGATTTAAAAAAACAAACACCTTATGGTATACCCTACCCACTCCCCGGCCTCCTAATTTGTATATAGAATCTGAGTTGAGAATCGCTTCTGTATGTGAGCTGGGGCCTGTGCCATGTTACCCACAATGTGCTAGGGCATTTAACAGGGTTGAAAATCACTGCTATGACTAGTAATAAAGGTAATCGACACAGGAAATCAAATGCTTAAGTTCTGTATTTTATCGTTTGGAAAACACAGTTTAAAAAAGTTCTAGATTTCTTCGAATGGAGAATTTTGGATATAATAATTGACATAGCAATGGATTTATAATTACTTGTAACAGTTACAGCAAGGTTTGATTTAATAACTGACAGCAATAATTGACTTGTAGCGATTATACTGTAAACCATTGATGGCTTTTATTTTGGGCATAAGAATTTATGGTATAATTCCCCTCCTTCCACAACAAGGGGAACATACAGGGCATGCTGTGGAAGCGTTTGTTTTAGCCAACCAGGTGGCTGCTATGACATCGTCATCCTGAAAGAAGTGATATCTAGACTTTTCAAACAAATGCAAATTTTAGTTTAATGTTTCAGAAGACATTTTTTAAAGTAGCCGCAACGTACCTGTTCTGTGTGAGATTCCCCTCTTTTTTTATTGTGAAGTTGAAGATAAGAGTCCATTTTAGGAGTGGATAATCCCAAAGTCAGCTTGTTTTTTTCCACAAAATATTGTTTGGACTTCCTTCGCCGAGGGCCACGTGATCCCAGCAGGAAAACCTCGTTATGTGAACTTGAGCTCTTCACGGACTGAGAAAGGCTGCTCGACTTCTCTTCCAGGTCACTGTCGCTCAGCTCTGAAAACGGCTTGCTGCGACGAGCACTATGCTCATAGCCGGGGCTTAAAAACTCACTACCAAGTAAAGAAGCTAAACTCTGTGAACTCTCTTTCTGCTCTCCTTTTTCCCCTGAGAGTTCCATTGAAGTCTCCTTGGAAGGGTAGAGGGGAACCAAAGGCAGATTTTCTAAAGAACTATCCGTAGACTCGGGCAATGCTTCCACAGGTAGCAGCTGCCCTTCCTCCTTTTTACTCTTCCAGTTGGGATCATAGCGGAGGCCTGAATATTTGTCTTCTATTGGTTGTTGCCTGCCCAAAGCAGAAAAGAAATATCAAGTCCTTATTCACAATAAATTCACTCATTATAGTCAGTTGATCATTTCATTTGAAATCAATCTCAGTCTTTTTTTCTATAATTTTCCTTTTATTATCTGTATGTTAAACACAAATCCCAGCAGGGTGCAGAAGCTCATACCTGTAATCCCAACACTTTGGGAAGCTGAGGCAGGAGGATTGCTTGAAGCAAGAAGTTCAAAACCAGCCTGGGCAACACATTGAGATCCCATCTTTACAACAATTTTTTTTTCAAAATTAGCTGGGTATGGTCATACTTGTAGTCAAAGTTACTCAGGGAGCTGAGGCAGGAGGATTGCTTGAGCTAAGGATTTAGAGGCTACAGTGAGCTATAATCACGACATTGCACTGCAGCCTGGGAAGACAGGGTAAGACCCTGTCTCTTAAGATAAACAAATAATTAATAAACATAAAGACAGATCCCAGGCCCAAATTAGACCCACACACTACACACAAGGGCAAAAGGCCTTAATTATCCAAGTTCATTTAAATATGGAATAAAAATGGGGGATAATAGTTCTAAGTGTCAGAAAACAACTGAAAAATGTCTATAATGCTAAACTAATAATCACTGTGGGTCAATGAATGCAGTTACTTGTGTACACCAACAATGACTCAGTATTTCAGCTGGTGAAGATAAAACTGTGTGTCACACTTTGGCTGGCAGTATATTTCATACACTGACGAACAATGCTTTGGTCAAGGACAAGCCACATGTACGCTGAGGTCCTACGAGACTGTAATGGAGTTGAAAATTTCCTATCACCTAGTGATGCTGTAGCCCTTTGACTACAGCAAACGTGTTGCTCACGTTTGTGGTGCTGCTCGTATAAACAAACCTACGCACTGCCAGTCCTTTAAAAGGATAGCACATACAAGTATGTACAGCACATAATCCTTAATAATGATAATCAACAACTATGTTACTGGCCTTTGTATTCACTATATGATATGGTTTGGACCTGTGCCCCCACCCAAATCTCATGTCGAACTATAATCCCCAATGTTGCAGGTAGGGCCTGGTAGGTGGTGACTGGATCATGGGGACAGAGTTCTCATGAATGGCTTAGCACCATCCCTCCTTGGTACTGAGTAGTGAGTGAATTATAGTGAGATCTGGTTGTTTAAGAATGTATAGCAGCTCCCCACCCTCTCTCGGTCCTGCTCCTACCATAAAAGGCCTGCTTCCTCTTTGCCTTTTGCCATGATTGTGAGTTTCCTGAGGTTTCCCCAGAAGCCAAGCAGATGCCAGAATCATGCTTCCTGTAGAGTCTGCAGAACTGTGAGCCAGTTAAACTTCTTTTTTTAAAAATAAATTATCCAACGCCGGGCGCGGTGTCTCAAGCCTGTAATCCCAGCACTTTGGGAGGCCGAGGCGGGTGGATCACGAGGTCAAGAGATCGAGACCAACCTGATCAACATTGTGAAACCCCGTCTCTACTATAAATATAAAAAATTAGGTGGTGAGTGCCTGTAATCCCAGCTACTCAGGAGGCTGAGGCAGGAGAATTGCCTGAACCCAGGAGGTGGAGGTTGCGGTGAGCCGAGATTGCGCCATTGCACTCCAGCCTGGGTAACAAGTGCGAAACTCCGTCTCAAAAAAAAATAAAAATAAAAATAAATTATCCAGTCTCAGGTATTCCTTTGTAGCAATGCAAGAACAGACTAATATACTATGCCATATATATATATATATATATATATATATATATATATATATTTTTTTTTTTTTTTTTTTTTTTTTCGAGACAAGATTTTGCTCTTTCGCTCAGGCTGGAGTGCAATAGTGTGATCTTGGATCACTGCAACCTCTGCCTCCCGAGTTCAAGAGATTCTCGTGCCTCAGTGTGTATTAACATGCCTGGCTATTTATTTTTATTTTTTTATTTTTAGTACAGACGAGGTTTTACCATGTTGATCTCCTGGCCTCCTGTGATCCACTCACCTCAGCTTCCCAAAGTTTTGGGATTATGGGTGTGAGCCACCATAACCAACCACTATACTAAATTGTTTATCATTATTTTAGAGTGCACTCCAACTTATTTTTTAAAACGTTAACTGTGAAACAGCCTCAGGCAGGTCCTTCAGGAGGGATTCCAGAAGAAGGCATTGTTATCCTAGGAGATGACAGCTCCATATGTGTTATCTGCCCTGAAGACCTTCCAGTGAGACAGAGAATGGACACTGGAAGACAGTGATACTGATGATCCTAATCCTGTTTAGGCCTAGACTAATGTGCATGTGTTTTAAACAAAAAAGTTTTAAAATATTTAATAGAAAAAAGCTTATTGAATAAGGATATAAGAAATTTTTATACAGCTGTACAACGTTATTTGTGTTTTAAGCTACGTTATTACCAGAGTTAAAAAGTTAAAAAAATTAAAAGTTCATAAAGTAAAAAGTTAAAGTAGCTAAGGTCAATTTATTAACGAAGAAATATTAAAAAAAATAAATTTAGAGGCTGGGCACGGTGGCTCATGCCTGTAATCTCAGCATTTTGGGAGGCCAAGGTGGGTGGATCACCTGAGGTCAGGAGTTCAAGACCAGTCTGGCCAACATGGTGAAACCCCGTCTGTACCAAAAATACAAAAATTAGCTGGGCGTGGTGGCGGGTGCCTGTAATCCCAGCTACTTGGGAGGCTGAGGCATGAGCATCGCTTAAACCCAGGAGACAGAGGTTGCAGTGAGTCAAGATCATGCCACCGCCCTCCAGCCTGGGTGACAGAGCTAAACTCAGTCTCAAAAAAACAAAACAACAATAAAAAATACATTTAGAAGGGTCTAATTGTACAGTGTTTATAAAGTCCACAGTAGCATACAGTAATGTCCTTGGCCTTGAAATTCGCTCCCCGCTCACTCACTGCCTCACCCAGAGAAACGTACAGTCCTACAACCTCCATTCATGGTCAGTGCCGACATAGGTGTGCCATTTAAATAACTTTTATGTTGTATTTTTGCGGTACCTTTTCTGTTTAGATGCACAAATACTTACCATTGTATTACAATTCCCTCCAGTGTTTAGTGAAGTAACACACTGTACAAATTTGTAGCCTAGGAGCAATAGGCTATCCCACACAGCCTGGTGTGTAGTAGGCTCCACTACCTAGGTTTGTATAAGTGCACTCTATGATGTTCCCACAATGACGAAATCACCTAAGGATGAATTTCTCAGACTATACCCCTGTTGTCAGGCAATGCATGACTATATAGACATCTGGCTGTTTAGAAAGAAAACTGTGAATTGTTGCCTAGACAACGTTTGCTTCAGACTGCTCCTTTTTGGGGGAAAGCAAGGTTTTATCTCGACTGAATACCTATATAGATTCATTCTTCTTTTCAGTGATTTTGCTTTTTACTTCATTTTGTCTTTGTAGAATGTATCTAATGTACTACAGAAAGATCCCCGAGGCTTCAAATCAGACCAGATCATGCACGGCTCACTGAAAGGTTCACAGCCTCTTGTTTGTCAGCTCTGACATGAAGCTCGGTTGATAGGTCAGAATGCACTTGACCCTGCAGGAGGGGCCTATTTGAATAAAAGGTTAAGCATATGGTCCTGCCTGAGAAAAGCGAGCTAGTCTATACTCAGTTCATGTGACCCAAAATAAAGTCTCCCTTTTCCCCATGACAATCTTAATTTGTAAAGCATCCCCAGTCTTAACCAAAAAAAAAAAAAAAAAAAAAAAAAAAGCTGGTAATACGGCATATTTAATAGCCTCTTTGATCTTCAAAAGCTAAATGACAGAGATTTTTCCTTCCTTGAGTACAGTATATGTAATCCTCTAATCAAAAAGAAAATGTAAATCACCTAGGCTTTTTATGCTATTTGATATTCCCGTTTACAGAGGGCATAATTTTATTCTGGGTAAACAAACTAATGGCCCCCCCTAATGTTAATTTACTTAATGTGGACCCAGATTTCTTTGATTTGATATAAAGTCAAAAACTGCAACAAAAAGCCAAAACTGTCATGCCTTGCTGAATTGTCATTTTGAGTTTTTAGTTCACATGTTATAATGAAGAACTTCTTGAAATAAGCGGCTCCTCCTTTCCCAACACAATAGTGTTATTGAGAGGATTATAAGAATTAATACATCTAAATGCATAGAACTATGTCCCTATCACAGAATAAGGGTTCCGTGAGGACCAGCTGTGGAAGCACGTATCAGAGAGCTCCAGCACTAGCCTTGCTTGCTGTGTGTCACATTCAGTCCCCATGACATAACACCGTTGTTATGTATTATACTTCTGGTGATGAATCTTGAGGGATTCTTCTCTCCCCAGGGCTTATTTCCAGGGCACGAAGTTGTCTTGTGATACACTAAGTGGTACCCTAGTGGCCTGAAAGAATTAACATCCATCTTTAAAAATCCAGTTTTTAATCATGACTTAGGCACAGTGGAGAATGGCCAAACCACAATTTGGAAATGGCAATAAGAAAGGTCAGTACTTTCACAAGATGAAACATTTTAACAATTGCTAAAGATGACAAATAAGGTAAAACTGGGATAATTAAATTATTTTTAGACCTTCTGAAAAAGCTGTAATTTCCAGCCTCAGCAAATTTCCATTCTTTTTTTTTTTTTTTTTTTTTTTTTTTGAGACGGAGTTTCGCTCTTGTTACCCAGGCTGGAGTGCAATGGCGCGATCTCGGCTCACCGCAACCTCCGCCTCCTGGGTTCAGGCAATTCTCCTGCCTCAGCCTCCTGAGTAGCTGAGATTACAGGCACGTGCCACCATGCCCAGCTAATTTTTTGTATTTTTAGTAGAGACGGGGTTTCACCATGTTGACCAGAATGGTCTTGATCTCTCGACCTCGTGATCCACCCGCCTCGGCCTCCCAAAGTGCTGGGGTTACAGGCTTGAGCCACCGTGCCCGGCCAAATTTCCATTCTTAAATGGCTGTAGGCCCCGCTCAGTGGCTGGCACCTATAATCCCAATACTTTGGAAGGCA